TGGTTCACTTTGGTAGATGTTCAACTGTACTTCTTTTTCTTCTTTGTGAGGTGAATCTGCGAATACTCCAAAGAACAAAGAGTCTTGTTCTAAAATAAGATGAGAACTACTCTTACACCATCATTGCTACTATGAAACTAAAACACCACAGCATTTTATTATGTTTTGACTGCAGTTTATTGAGATATTCCTCTGCTTTGAGTATAACCCTTTTTCCCAACATTTCCTTGGGTCGCTACATAGTGCTTTAGAATGAAAGTTCATGTACACAACATATTGGCCATATTGGAGATCGCTGCTGATTTGATGAAACAAAAATATAAAGAACCTCTGCAACACTGCAGCTTGAATGCACTTGCGTAGATGTAAATCTAGGCATGAGTCAACGTATAATTTGAAAAAACAAGCACCAGCTACCTTATTTTGAGTGATGAATATATGCTTTTCAGGCATAAACTGCTGTAAGATCCTCTAGGTCAATGTCACAGATAATTTTCATCCCAAAAGCCCCCCTGAGCTTCCTTTGTGCCAAAGACAGAACAGTCCATGTGGGTAAAGAAGACTAGGTATGGAAAGCCGTAAGGAGGGATGAAGGAGAGCTGGGGTGACAGAGATCAGGTTATCAATACAGCCAATGGAGCGCAGTGGAAACTCGGTAAGCCCAAAGGGACCAACTGCAGAATGCTGCAGTGTGCTGCTCCAGCAAAACACACTGGGACAGAGGTCAGCACGCTGACTGTTCACTTCTATTCACTTCTACTTTATTCTATTCTATACTAGGAGGACAAATGCTTATCTGACATCTCTAGTTATTGTCGCTGATTTTTGTTTACTAATTTTTGTCAGATTTTGACGGTTTGTGTGTTTTCAAATTTAACCACTCAGCGGAGGGTGAGTTCAGCATATGGGAAACAGATAGAAGGCGACATGTGACAAAGGTCAGGCAGTCAAATCCTCATTGCGAGCACGCAAGAGCTTCTAACACATACAATCTCTACAGTTCTCTTTCATAATGCTAATACATACGTGTGTTGTGTGAGATAATCGTACTGACATACTCACACACAGATGTGAGGACATTGTTATCTTGACTCTGAATTGTTCCGTTCTTCTTTATCACAAAGCAGCATAATTTTTTCTCTTTTCTCTTTATCACTGTATCTTTCTTCATTCCTCTGGTCCCACCATAATTTTTCATCGTTCAGTTTCTCTGTTATTGTCCTGATACTGTTTCATCCTGTTGTTTAATCAAATCAAACATTAACCTTAAGTATTACAGTGTTTGTTTGAATCTATATTTACATATGTGCTGACATGGGTCAATTACTGTAGATGCTTAATGGCAGGAATGATTTCCAGGGTGGTCAACCCTGATTTGGTCTCATATTTGAAGCACTGTGGGTGTAAGATAAACAACCGTGGGCTATTTAATTGTTGTGACTTCCTACAAAGAAAGTGTATTATCAGAAGTAGTCTTTTGTACGCCAGTTTTTTGTTGTTGTTTTTTTCAGTTACCATGGTGATAGGTAATTATTTTGTTCAATGTGTTTGCATTATAACAGCAGACAAAGTCACCAATGGCTGATGAGTTATTCAGTGACATAGGTTAAATAAAAAAAATGGAACAAGTTTATCTTCAAGGTCTACTTAAAAAAAAAATTGTTGAAGATTTTTTTAAGTTTTCTACCGCATCTCAATTTCATCAGCAAATGGAATTGTCTCCGCTGTAATCGAACATAATGTTATAATGACTTCTTGTCAGATAGCACCTGAGCCAGATTTGGTTTGGTTTTCTTTCATGTGCAAAATACATACAATTTGTTTTGTTTAACTTTGGAGGAGTGATGAGTGGGGATTTATAAAAAAAAAACCCAAACAAGATTGTCATGTTGAATGTGCATGGTCTGATCTGGACCTGATCTGCCTTTAACCCTTTCACAGTAAAATATAATTCAGTTGATCTTTGTTTTCTTCAAATTTGATCAAACTAGATACCACACTATTTTAGACTGGTATGGTTTGATCTTCAAGATGATATGCTGATGATTTAATCAAGATATGTTCAACGTATCAACCTCAGTTTTCCTGTTCTTGGGAATTAAGCTACTGAAATGTTTTCACTGCTGCAACTCTTTGTCTTAGTCTATAATCTGTTCCTTTGTCTCTGTCTGCCTTTGTTTGTTACTGTGTCTACATAGACATTTTCTCCCAGACATATAGTACATGCGCAAATATGTGAATGCAGGCACAGACGCACTCGCTCAACCAATGTCTCTTCGCCAGAGGCAGTGTAAGTCTTGCTTGTGCACACACTGTATACATTTCACATTCTGACAATGTGACCAATGTGATCATTATTCAAAATACACTCCCACCTCCGACCCAGAGAACAAGCAATCACTGACGCAATTTCCTACATCTTTGAACTGCTCCAGGGGAATGAACTTGTGTAGTCTGTGTTTTTCAGAGTATGCTTTTTATAATCATTATTATTCTAGCGCTGGTGAAAATAAAAGTTTTATTAAAAGTTGGTCGGTATTTGTTTTAGGGCACACAGCATGCAAATGTGGTGTACGTCTGTGTGTGTGTGTGTGTGAGTGAGCGAGAGAGAGAGAAAGAGAAAGATGGATGGATCAAATGAGAGAGAAATGACAGCCACAGTTAGTAGAGGCAGGTTAGGTCAACAGGTCGGTGTGTAATTAGATATTCCAGCTACGCACAAATGATTAGTTTGCATCTGCGGAGTCACACAAGCAAGCTTTCTCTTACACACACACACATAAACACAAACAGAAGAAAACAAGGCCTATACACGGGTACTGTTTTATTCATGTTGATGTGATGCCAGTGGACATGCACCCGTGAGGAACACAGCTTTTCTCACCTCATGCACTCCCACACAAATACACACAAATACACACAAAACACATATCCTTCCGCAGTCACCTCAGTTCATTTTAATATCTAGACACATCTCACAACACACCACACACACACACACACACACACACACACACGAGACCCTGGTCCAAAAATGTGTTGCTGGAGTCAACCCAGGAAACCAGATGTGTCCAGTGTTGGCTGAGTCTACCCGCCTGTGTGTGTGTGTGTGTGTGTGTGCTTCTTTGAATGTATGTCTGATTGCTTGTGCATTTATGTGTGTGTTTGCATGCATATACATATATTGTATACATATCTTCAGTTGTGTGTGCTTAAATTCTCTCATTTATACAATATGTTTTAAAAAAATAATGTCTGTGCTCTTTTTTGACCAACTAAACGACCGCACTCCAGACATAGCATGTGCAACCCAGTCTGAGCTGTTGTATAATAGCATTTGTTCTTCTTCACTTATTTCCAGTGTAGCTAAAAAAGACAGACGGAAATTCTGTTGCACACTGAAGTGGACTGTAAATCATTTCTTACTGTTTGTATTTATCATAAAAGTCCAGTGTGTAACATTTAGGAGGATCTTAAATGGAATATAATATTTTTAGGTATGTTGTCATCAATGTATTATCACCTAAAAATAAGAAGCTGTTTTAATCTACAGAGGGAAAGGGGTCTACGCACTTCGAATGGGAGGATGAGGTGAGGGCTATTCATTCTGTTGCAATCTGCAACCTCACCGCTAGATACCACACGCTGTTCCATTAACACAAACAATCCTTCTTGTGTCTTTTACTATATGTTGATAAAAGATATGTTAAAGGTCCAGTGGTGCAGCTGCAGCTGCACTAAAACTGTAAGTACATTTTAAGTAACTGTTTACAGCAGGCAGTGCACATTTAGCCACCAGCTGCATTGGAGAATTAAAGCAATGACCTTTAAGTCACAAGCATATTCTCTAAATCCACAGCCACTTGCGCTTATTCATCAAAACAATTTGTATAACGTCAAACCAAGTATAGTGAATGTGTCACTAACAACACAGAGAACTCAGGTAAGAGCCAACTGATATCAATGTCAGTCCAAGAACACTGATGCAGGGCATGGGTTAAGTTAGTGCCACTGTAAGGCAAATAAAGGAGGAGAATGTGTGACTCAGCACAAACAGAACCACAGTGACACCATAAACATAACTAATGGCTCATGGATGTATCACATAATCTATATAAGTCAGGTCAGGGTATTTTGTAACTGACGCTAATCATAGAATGTGTCCCAACGCCTGCAGCCTTTTCAGTTTTTCCCCGACATGCTTGTGTGAAAACAGTCACACCATGTAAACAAAGTGAGATTTTTCCAAATTTAGGGAGGTGTTCATGCATTATAACAACATCAGCAGCCTGATAAGACCTTAGGCTTTGTTATATTTGTGTCAGGAAAATGAAGACAGAGATACTAGCTTGAATCTGAGAAATAACAATCCATCAAGATTTCAGTAGAAGAGGTCTGCAAATGTGGAATTTCTTGAAGATGGCAGCGGGCCTGAGCGCTGATCATGGCTCATTGATTACACCATTGCCACAGAGAGTACCCAAACCTGATTGGCTGGAAGATGGATGGGGGCTTTTTTTCAAATAAATGCACAGCTCTGATGTAGTGGATTTGATTTAACCTATATTGATATCATATTGAAAAAAATAAACCCCAGACCATACTTGACGTATGATTATTCTATTCTAATGTATGACCTACCAGTATACCACCCTGAAGTTTTATTTATTTATCAAAAAGTCTTTGGTGATGGCTTTATGACACCAGCCTGAATAAATTATTTCAATAAATATTTGTGTGTGTAACTTGACCAAATACTGGAAAGGCTTCATTCATCCATCCAACCATCAGTGGCCATGTTCATGTACCATGCTGTGATTACAGAGAGTGTAGCCTGTTGGATTGCTGACAGCTTGTGCTCAGAGCCACTTGAAACAGTGTTGTCCAAGTGTCCTTGAGTCTCAAAACCTCCCTGCTCACTCACTGAAAGTCAGTGGATAACAGGATCAGCATCAACAAATATGTAAAACAGTCCATCAGCAGGTGTTTTGGGAACTCACCTGTGGTCGTGGGTGTCCTTTCACAATACACTGAAGCACTAGTGTGTCTCCTTCTTTGATGGTGTAGATTCTCTCACTGATGTTATCATCCTTGACGTTACATGCTGCGCCTGAGTGCACGATCTGGGCGTTGGCTGGAGCTGTGAGTGAACGCATGGACACACATGCATGCAGAGACAGGCATGTAGCCATGCGGACATACACACACACACACACACAAACACAAAGGGAGAGAAACCACATCACAGATTTAGTAACATCTCTGCAGCAGAAAAAAGGTCATTCTCTTGTGGGTGTATGTGTAATACTAGCGCCAGTATTGATGACTCAGATAAATAAATATATCACATTACTCCTGCATCTGCATGAACAAAGGCTTTTACAGAAATGCTGTGGAGTGTTGTGTGTGTCAGTGTTTATGATGAGAAATGCAGGCATTTATTGGAAAATTTAAACTTTGGTCTCCATTAGAAGGTCAAAAAGCTGATTCTTCACTCTAGGACAGTACTTTTGTCTTATGAAGTATAGAGTGTGCGACAACAATAATGTTACGAGTGAAATGCACATTACACAGTACAAGATGGATTTAAAGAAGTCTTGGTCAAATCGCTGTACGATATCTGTTTCAAAGCATGTTGGATGGTGCGATGGATGCCTGGTGAATTTTAGCGCTGAGATGGAAAGAAAGACAGGGACATGTCATCAGTTCGCATCATATATCTGCACCTCTCTTTTGACAGCGGCCATAACACTGGCACTACAATACATCAAAAAACCTTATAAAAGGAGGGGGAGGAACTGGTGGAGAGAGAAACGAATTGTCAGTTTTGCAAAGTGAGTTTGAGGTCATTATGGCTTTTTAGCGGTCGCATTAGGCTAACTTGCTATTGTACTGTGTGTCTTTTCATGTTTTATTCTGATTGGTTGCTTAGTAAACTTAGGTCGTATCAACAGTCACATTGTACGATTTTGGTACTTTTTATGCGGCTCATCTTTGGTCGCAGATGTTCAATGGATGGTGGAATTGTCTCACAGTGTGATGCAGGACCAGCATTTTACATCTCTCTTGTGATTGTGATCTTTTGTCTTGAATGCTCGTCAATAAAAGACCTAAAAACCAATCACTGGGTAGTAGTAAGTGTATTGTTCATTTGACTCAGTATGACAATATTTAAGTTTCGTCACAACCTCATCAAAATCATGATATTAAAATTATATCAACATATTGCCTATAGCTCCTTACTAAGGTCTGCTTTACAACACTGCAAAAACAACAGGCTGTCATGGCAACTCCAGAAATGCTGGACGATGGATGCATGATGGGAGATCTCAGCAGTGACGACAACTACAATATCTGAGTCTGCACAGTGCTGACCCATAAGGAGGGCTGGCTTGCGTGCAAGTAGCCTCAGATGGCTTCACCTCCCCTATGATGAGATGAGACAGGAGGGAGGAGGGGAGAGACACAGACAGAGTGAGAGAAACAGCGGGTGAGGAGGAAAAAGGCCAGAGACGAGTGTGAAACCCCAGAGAGAGGTGTGGGGGACGGGGGAGCACAATGATGTGATTAGCATCGATTCACAGGGAGAACAAATTTTCACTGTGCTCTACAACTGTTATCATTGAACAGACAGGAAGGAAGTGGGCGGCCTGTTCACCTTAAACTTCAACTCGATCAGACATAACAACGCAAAGCGCGATCTCCAGCCAGAAATCCAGTTCAAAATAAAAGATGCCTCTGATTCTGTCGCTGCATGTTCTAATATGTATATGTTAATGACTTAAGGTACTGGGACAAAGCGAGTTTGCCTGTCAACTTACATTGTACATTTTAGTGGCATTTCCACTTTATTAGATAAGAAAACAGAGACAAAACAAAAAAATGCTGATCAGATTCAGTCCCGGTTGCAAACGTGGCTATTTAAAACCTGTGCCATTATCTTTTGGCTGTGCTCCTGAGCCAAGAAAGTAAATGCACAAACAACTGTACTCTTACAACAATAGGCTGCCTGAGTATAAAATCAAAAATAAGCCATATAAAAGTGGGCATTTTGAAGATCTTCCAAAAATACCACAGCATATCTGCACCTTACTGTAACTGACAACTGAAAACAGTCTGCTCAATATTTATCCTCCACTATCATTTGTTTTGTTCTTATTTTCTGAAAGTGGATGTGTTGGAGAAGAAAAGAGAAAGCAAGAGTGTTTTTGGTATGATACCCACAATGCCTACTGCTTATTGCCTTCTGTTTGTCTGTATCTGAGTGTGTAGAGATATATGAATATGAGACTTAATGCTCTGCACTTTTGTGTTGGAAGAGCTCATCAACAGAGCAGTCAATCATTCACTCCTTCAGTCTTTGCATCATTCTTCCAAAGACCTCTTTAGCATACCACAGCCATTTCTTCCCCAACATTGAAACCTTCTCTTACATGAACAAACACATGCAAATACACACACACACTCTAAAATCCATATCGCAAAAAACATGCATGCTGGTGCACGCAAATAGTTACACACATACACAATAAGTTTTATTACTCCTGCAGCAGCTCTCTACATTTAAACATGCTGCTTGTTAAGTTCTCTGCCTCTTGCTCTGTTGCCCTTCTCTATCCCTCGTCTTCCTCAGTGTCTCTCTCTGACTTAAAGGAGAAGAAAAAAATTGTGTGTTAAAAGTTTAGGAGCACAAACCCCAAAAACACATTCAAATGTTGTAAATAATGTTGTAATGATAATGACGATTTGAAATGTTACTCTCCATGATATAAGGAAATGGGAGATGTCAACTGTTTTAGTTGAACAAAAAAAATCATATTTAACCGTAATTTAACGAAAACTGGTTGCCTGAGCAAGTTTATTCCTTTTCAGCAAACATTCAGCTTTAGATTCATACATCTACACACATTCACACAAGGGAACCGCCCAGTGTAATTACAGTCTTTATATGCTGGACACTGAGCAGATACAGTGCTGCAGTTGGGGGTTAAGTGCCTTGCTGAAGGGCACGCTGTTAGCAGTTGCTGTGGGATGCAAGATCATGTATTATTTATGCTCCCTTCTCTCAGATACGGTTAGCTTACTTTTGACCAATGATCTTCCAGTACCAAGCAAACTGTAACTTCTAGGCTACAAATTTCCTGGTGTAATCAGTCCATGAAAATGGAACCCATGAAAGGATACAAGTATTAAAAACACTATGTGGGGTAACAGTAGGGTACCAGAGGTGTGCTGAGCTAACGCAAAAAGACACAGAGCTGATATAAATGGTGAATAATTGTCTCCTTACAGCTTATTGGCGTGTCGGCATTAGTTTGCCTCTCTAGAGAGGAAGGGAGGTCGGACAGAGCGACTCCTCTGTCTGCTCTCGCCTCCGGCAGCTTGGCTGTTTCAACTGTCTGATCGACTAAAGAAAGGGAGGCTGAGAGAGAGAGGAGAAGGAAATAAAGGCAAAAGAGAGAGGAAGTAGAGAGAGATGCAGGAGGAGCAGAAAGGATGAGCAAGAAAAGGGTGGAAGGAGACAGAAAAACAGCAGAAAGGTGCAGAAAGAGGGAAGAAAGACAATAAACAGAGGGAAAAGAAAAAAGCACTGCAGAGACAAAAAGTAGAGGTGAAGAAAGAGTCAGACAGAATGAGACTGAGAACAGGAAGTAATTAATGTAATGTGGATTTGATAAGGCAACTGAAAAGAGATCAATTGGAAGGTTAAGGTGAAAGGTAAAAAAAAGACAGTCGAAGTAGGCAAACGTAGTTGGCCAAAGAAGAGAGACTGACAGCTAGGCCAGAGAGAGGTTGGATAGGTTGAGGCTCTTCAACAAGCCGATGCTGTCCAAAACAATACAAAGGAATGATGCAAACAAAGCAAGAGGGTTCAATCTGTTGCACTACAGTCATCCCCTTTTTCCGCTAGTCTCACGCACACCACAGACAACTAGAGACAACATTATCAAAAAAACAACTGAACTGGGTCTACCTAGCCAACCAACCAACTGACTGACATCAAACTTCCATGTAACTTGTGCAAATATTTAAGGAAATATGGTTTTATGGTTTTGATTAAATAGGAGAATTGCATCTCACAACACAGTGTGTGCATGATCACTAATGTATACACAGCATCTACTGCTTTGTTGCTTAGCAACACAAGAGGTACATCACAGATTCGTTTGCACACTTCATGATTAACTTAGTTTGAAATAGCAAGATTGTCATGTCTAAATTATAAATAGCATAGCAGAGTTCTTTAATCAAACCTGCCATTTTCTCTCAACACTAGGCAGATCTGTTTACATTGTGTGAATCACAATCAAATAAGAGCTGTACATTTTTTTCAGTGAAAGATATTTTCATAATATGAAAATATCTATAAACAAATTGATATCAATTGAACTACATGAATATATTATATTCATGTAGTT